CTTTTGAATTTTGAGGCCTTTTATTTCTTTCTTCTGTCTGATCACTCTACCCCGGACTTGTAGTGCTGTGTTGAATAAGAGTGGCGAAAGTGAGCGTCCTCATCTTCTTCCATTTCCTGGAGGAAAGGTTTTCAACTTTTCCTCATTCATATGATGTTAGCTGTGGGTTTGTCATATATGACCTGTATTATTTTGAGCTATATTCCTTCTATGCCTAGTTTGTTAAGTATTTTTATCAAATTTCTTAAGTCTTCAGAATCTAGTTTAAATAGACTTTCTGAAGCCTTCTCTTATCCAGCTTCAAACTTTGAACATACATTGCGTTGTCTCCTCTTTCTCTAGTGCTTAGAACACTATTCAGGTTGAGCACCTCTCATCCAAAAATCAGAATTCCAAAATGCTACGCAATCTGAAACTTTCTGAGCACTGGCCTGATGCCACAAGTGGAAAATTCCACATCTGATTTCATGTGACAGGGTGTAGTCAAATGCAGGTGTGTAACACACCATTGATTCAGTGTCCTCAGGGGAGAAAAGGTATTCTGGTGATGCTACTGTGCTGCTTAGGATTACCCTGAACACATTTTTTTCACAATATTAATTATATGCCTTCTTTTTTTTTTTTTTTTTTTTGAGGCAGAGTGTCGCTCTCGTTCCCCAGGCTGGAGCGCAGTGGTGCGATCCTGGCTCACTGCAACCTCCACCTCTCAGGTTCAAGCAATTCTTCTGCCTCAGCTTCCTGAGTAGCTGGGATTGCAGGCATCCGCTACCACACCTGGCTAGTTTTCATATTTTTAGTACAGACGGGGTTTCCCTATGTTGTCCAGGCTGGCCTTGAACTCCTGACCTCAGGTGATCTGCCTGCCTTGACCTCCCAAAGTGCTGGGATTACAGGTGTGAGCCACCGTGCCCGGCCGATATGCTGTATTTTTTTTTTTACTATCAAGTACTTAAGTGTAAGAAAATAATTAGTTACTAGTAGCATATAAATTCAGAGTCATGAATGATGGTGATGCCAAACAACCGCAGATGGTTCCCAGGAGTGGCAGAGATAGTGGCACTTCTGCTTTCTGATGGTTCAGTGTACACAAACTTTGTTTTATGCACAAAACTATTTTAAATGTTATATAAAATTACCTTCAGGCAATGTGTATATGGTGTATATGAAACATAAAATGAATCCTGTGTTTAACTTGGATCTCATTCCCAAGATATCTCATGATATATGGGCAAATATTCCACAGTCTCCTGAAAATTGGAATTTCGAAACACTTCTCATCCCATGCGTTGCAGATGAGGGATACTCAGTCTGTATCATAACCATTCATTTAATCTACTTCCCTTGGATCATTACTGACACTAGTGAACAAATCTTTTTCATCTCCTTTGTGTCTTTTACTAAAAAAATGTGTGGATGGAGAGAGAAATTTGCCATGTAAACCACATGGCACTATTATATTATGTTGTAATTATATTAGGTGATTTTCAAGAGGAGGTTGCCTTTTTTATAATCAAATATCATTTATAATTTATTTGGTATTATTTTTCTTCACTGCATATTTCTTTCTAATAATCTACTTTTATAAAGTAAAAAACATGTAATTACTTGGAGTAGGGGAGAAGACTGATTGAATATGAGAATTTTTTTTAGTTCACAGAGAAGAAATTGTCATATACCACCTTGGGCATTTTTAAACAAGAGAAAGTGGTGGATATTAAGGAGGTGAATGGGTAAATCTTTAGTTTAAATTATTTTCTTTCCTACCACTCTCTTTCTTAGTAGGCGGTTCGATTCTAGGATGTAATTCTTAAACAGTAGATATAATAGAATGTGTTATGCCCTTGGATTGACCATCTGGTTAAATCAATAACCCTGCCCATGAAAGTGTCTAATAGACTATTCTGATTCCAGTTTTGTTTTATTTTATGTCCTTAACTACTTCTTTCTCTCAGAAACCATTCAGACAGTGAACGTTAAGTACAGATCCTCTCAATGTCTTTTTCATAAAATGAGTACCAATGATGCTTTACTATATATGCTGTAAAACTGATGGTTATAAAACAAATTTTTTTCCAGAAAAATAATGTTGTAATTGTGATTTCTTTTCCCAAGTAAGGATTTGGTATAAAATATGTTGTAAAAACAAAGATAAAGCAATGTTACGTTTTAGTAATAATTTAAAATAACAAAGTATTAAATTGACTTAAATTAATTGATTTTATAAAGGCTTAATTTGTTCACTTAAACTATCTCGCTACTGAAGTCTCCAGTCCTATCACCTCTGCCCTTCATATACTAAAAGTATATGACCTCATTGCCACTTTCAGAAAAAAAAAATGAACGTATCAAAATGGGAACTCCCCCAGCTTTTTGCCTCTGAACCAACTTCTTTCCATCTGTATTCATTCCTTTATCTGTCCTTTCTTCCTATTACGATGGAATAGATGTTTCTCCTTCAAGCCAGAGAGCAAAGACCCTGAAAGCTTGTTCTCTGGATTTTTTTTCTCCTCTCCTGTATTATCAGCTCTTTTTCTCTGGGTTCTTTCTGTCAGTGCTTACCATACTCAAGTGTCTTCCATCTTAAGAAATAATAACTCTTTAACCTTGTGTATTACTACAGCACCTGCCTTGTTTTTTGCTTTCAAAGAATTGCTTACATATGTTGTCTTCGTTTACGTATGTCTCGTTCATCCCTCAGCCTTCTGCAATATAGACCCTGCCACCACATTGCTGCAACTATTTTTGCCTACTCCACTATCCATTGTTGACTTAAGTGTTGCTAAATTCGGTAGATACTTTTCAATTCTTAACTTACTAGACCTATACTATTTGCTATTCTGCCCATTTAGAAAATCTTTTTCTTGGCAGTCCTTCTCTTTGCTCTCATTGAACCTACTCCTGTGGCTTCGATCACTGCATCATGCTGATTCCAGTAAATCTGTATCTTCAGCTTGCTCTTGAACTTTAGTGTTTATTCCGCTTGCCAGCAGCTATGCCCACTTAGATGTCTCACTGGTCCCCAAAACTCACAGAATGGAGCTATCACCAACCTGTTCCCTCAAAGCTTTTCCTCCTGCCTGGTTTTTTATTTCAGTGAATAATGCTGTCATTGCTTTGTTGCCTGTGGAAGAAATCATTGTCTTTAACTTCTTCCTTACCCACAATAGTCAATCATAAAGGACCCTACTTCTTATCTGTCTGTTCTCTATAGTAACCACCATTCTGCAGTAGCCATCATCATCTCATTGAATAATTTTAATACTAATTACTTGTAACTGTTCTCTCTGCCTCCTGTCCTTATTTACTCCCACTAAGCATTCACAAGGCAGCTGAAGATACATTTTTCCAGATAAAATATAATTGATATTCTGTTGCTTAATAACAACAACAAAAAACCTTTAAAGGAGCCCTTCTTGTTGTTCTTGGCATGAAAAGACTTTTGTGTTGTGGTTCCTGATTTTATCCCCAGCCTCATCTCCAGTTGTATACAGTATCCAGTCTCCCTCAATTGCTTTTTCTCTTGCCTCATGTGACTGCCCCTCTCTTACCTCACACACACACACACACACACACACACACACACACATTATCAAGTGATCAAAGTGTGATCCTGGAACCCCTGGGTATCTATGATATCCTTTCAGAGGGTCTGTAAGGTCAACACTATTTTTGTAATAATACTATGATATTATTTGCTTTTTCATTCTCATTCTAATGAATGCCTAGTGGATTTCTTTCAGAGATGATCCAACATGTGATGATGCTATTCCATTGCTCTGGTGGCTGGTGGATATAAACTTATGTAGTTTTAAAAGTTCCCATTTTAAAGTTTGTATAGGGTATATATTGATAGATATAATAAACCAAAGCTCGTCAGGGTCCACAGTAATTTTCAAGAGAATAAAGGGATTCTGGGACCAAAAGGTTTGAGAACAGCCATTTAGGCCTCAGATGACATTTTCTCTGAGGAGTGTTTTTTTGTTTGTTTTTGTTTTTGTTTTTGTTTTTTGGGGAGACGGAGTCTCGCTCTGTCACCCACGCTGGAGTGCAGTGGTGCGATCTCGGCTCACTGCAAGCTCCACCTCCCGGGTTCATGCCATTCTCCTGCGCCAGCCTCCTGAGTAGCTGGGACTACAGGCACCCACCACCACGCCTGGCTATTTTTTTTGTACTTTTAATAGAGAAAAGGTTTCATCATGTTAGCTAGGATGATCTCGATCTCCTGACCTCGTGATCCGCCTGCCTCGGCTTCCCAAAGTCCTGGGATTACAAGTGTGAGCCACCGCACCTGGCCTCTGAGGAGTCTTTGCTTGGGTCCTCCACCAAGTCCCCTTTGAGTAACCTTTTCTGTTGCACTTACCATATCATAGCACTTATCATATTATATTATGATGGGTTACTTGTCTTTTTAAGCCAGTAGACACAGAAAACTCTCTAAAAGAAGGAACCTGTTGTATCCTCAGTACCTAGCACAGTTCTGGGTACGTAGTAAGTGTTCAGTAAACACATGTTGTACAAGTGTCTTTGAAAGTCTTTGGAGATGACCTAAATTATTTATTATCAAATATGATTGACATGTTTTAAATTGTAACCATTTTGTGCCTTAGGGACACATTCGTTTCTTAAGTTTTCTGACCCATTAATATCTGAATAGGTTTTAGAAAGCAGGTTTTATTTTATATATGTGTGTTATATTCATATATTAGAGCAGAAGGAATTTATTAGTGGGAGTCAGAAGCTCTATATCTCAATCTGTGTCTTCCACAAGTAACTGTGGAGCCTTGGAAAAGTCTTTTTATTCCTTTGAAGCTAACTTCCCTCATCAAATAATGGGACTGGACTAAGTTGTCTAAAAAGTTTTTCCTTGTACTACATTGTATGATTATATTGAATGATGTCAAATGTGTATCGAATGTGATTTATATTTATTTATATTTTACTTTATAAAAATGCACATAAATATAGATTTATCTATATATTAAAATAACTTTGTTTTTACAGGAAGGATGATAAAGACTACGCTTTAAAACAAATAGAAGGAACTGGGATCTCTATGTCGGCATGTAGAGAAATAGCAGTAAGTGAAGTTCTTTTTATCATTATTATCAACTGACTTATGAGTACCAACTATATAAGGCTCTGTATTGTATTTGTCATATTAATTGAAAATTAGTGAATATTTTTTATATCAACTATAGGAAAATATATTAAGGAGAAGTCAAGGGAACATGTAGTTCTATGTAAACTCTTTATTTGGGGTAAAGTAAATTTCAGTTGTTTATATAAATACATATTTTCCCAATAGCTGTCACTGATAGTAAAGGGTCCAGTTATTTCATTGGGAGCAGTAAAAGTGGCATGTTAGTCCATATAAAATTAATATTTTTATCTTGATAGAATGAAACTTATGTCATTAATTATGTCAAATTAAAATGAGGTTGTATTATTTGCTTTTCATTGCTTGTATCTGTTCATTTGAGTATGTAAATATTCATGCCCTTTTATTTTGGAAGCATAGTTTTCCATATTGTGATTAGAATCTCATTTTTATTCCAAAGGGAAGTAGTCGTTGGGTTAATGCGTTAATAATTATCCATACATTTAAACTGAGCATTACTTGTTGAGATTTTACTTCAGTTTTTACTGTTATAAAACTGTGGGTCCAAATGTGTCTTTTCTGGCTTTACACGGAATGTTCTAGAATATATATTATAATCTTTGCTTTTGTTGCTCTCAGCCCTTCTATTATATTTACCCGTAATAGTCTGTTACGACCTGGAAATGTTAAACCATTTTGCAAGTTTACTAGATTCTGTACCAGTGAGTCTTCAACTCAAGTAGGTAAAAATAATTTACACTGTGTTGAGGAAAAAGACTCATAAATCTAAGAACAGCTTGTCAAGTACTGTGATAGAAGTATATGGGAATGGAGAAGGGTGTACATCTAAACTAAAGTAGAAAAACAAGGAAAGTTCCAGGTTTGGGAACGCATGTAACAATTACCTTCCTGAGGGAAGAATGGGGCTGAGATGGAGGATATTGTTTTTTTTTTTTGAGATGGAGTCTCGCTCCTCCGCCCAGGCTGGAACGCAGTGGCCAGATCTCAGCTCACTGCAAGCTCCACCTCCCGGGTTGACGCCATTCTCCTGCCTCAGCCTCCCAAGTAGCTGGGACTACAGGCGCCCGCCACCTCGCCCGGCTAGTTTTTTTTTTGTATTTTTTAGTAGAGACGGGGTTTCACCAGATTAGCCAGGATGGTCTCCATCTCCTGACCTTGTGATCCACCCGTCTCGGCCTCCCAAAGTGCTGGGATTACAGGCTTGAGCCGCCACGCCCGGCCTGGAGGATATTGTTAACCAAAGGTAGACCATGCTGGAAGATGTAGTTCTTTCAATTGATACGTTTTTTATACTTTTCGATCTTGAGACCAGGTATCTGTATGTTAACTGTCAGTTATTCAACATCTATTCTGTATATACTCGTCAGTTTTAAAGAGTTAAAAGCCATTGAACTATGGTCAGTGGTGTTAGAAGTCAGGATGTTGATACCCTTGGAGGGAATACAGAGCTTCAGGGTGCTAGTAATGTTCTTTGATCTTGCTCTGGGTCTAGTTACACGGGTTATATATGTGACAGTTCATTGAGCTGTGTACTTATTGTTCACATGCTTTTCTCTTGTTTATTAGTCTTTAACAAAATGTTTTTTATTAAAAAAAAAACAAAACTCAGTTCAGAAACAGGTATTATCTTTGCATATATCATGATAACTATAAATGCACTTAAATACAGAAAGAAGTATGAAAACCTACTTTTAATGTACTTGATCATGGTTCTTCAATCTGAGATGAGCAGAAATGTTTAATTTTTATGAAGTTCTTACTAATTTTTCCTTTTATGACTATTTTCTGTATGTGGCTGAAGAAATCTTTACTCACTGATTGTGGAAATATTTCCCAATATTGTCTTCTAAAAGCTTTATAGTTTTTAAATTTCTAGTTTATGATATACTCAATTATTTTTTCTTTGTGGTATGATATAGAGTTTGAATTCCTCCTCCTATATGAATGTACAGTTGTAGCATCATTTTTGGAAAACATCCTTTGCCATAGAATTCCTTTGGCACCTTTGCAAAAAAAGAAAGTATACATTTGGACTCTGTTTCGTTCCATTGTTCTCTCTGTCCAGCCTTATACCAATAGATTACTCTCCCTTTCTAGCAAGACTTGAAGCCAGGTGGTATAAGGCCACCAGCTTTATTCTTTGTCAGAATTGTTTGGGGTATTTTAGGTTCTTTAGCATTATCATATAAATTTTTACATCTGCTAATTAGTTGGTTTTTTTTTTTCAATGCTTGTTGAGATTATAATTTGGATCAATTCAAAGAATAATAGTATTGAGACTTTCAAGCCAGCAGAAAGATATACTTTCCATTTTATTTATTATTTATTTATTTACTTTAAAAATATATATATATGGTGTAGTATATATCCTGAGACATTTCTAAATTCACTGGTAGGTTTTTGGTGATTCCTTGGGATTTTTTCTACATAATCATGTCATTTATGAATAGGGATACTTTTACTTTTTTCCCTATTTCTGCTTTTGTTTCTTTTTTTTCTCTTACTGAATTGGTTAGGCCATCTCACACAATGTTGAATAGAGGTGAGAGCAGGTGTCTTTGATTTATTCCCAACTGTGAGGAAAATGTTTCCACTTTCACTGTTCAGTATAATGATAGCTGCGCATTTTTTCATAGGTGCTATTAATCAAGTTTAGGAAGTTGTATTGCTAGTTTCCTAAGAATGTTTTCATAAATGATATTGAATTTTATCAAATGCTTTTTTTCTACATGGATAAAAACAACCATATAATTCTTCTCTTATTCTGTTAATTTGGTACAAAATATTTTGTTTTCTTTGTGAAATTTTCCTTTTATCTATGAGTTATTTAGAATTATATTGCTTAATTTTTAAACATGTGAGGTATTTCTAGATAACTTACTGTTACTGATCTAATTTATTTTCCTTGTCGTCAGAGAAAAGAGACCTTGTATTTTAGAGATACATACTGAAATATTTATAGGTAAAATGATACAATAACTAGAATTTACTTCAACATAATCCAGGGTTGGCTGGGAGGGGTGGATATTAGTATAAGTAAATTAAGTTTGGCTGTGAGTGGCTGATGGTACATAGAGGTTTGTTTTAATATTCTGTTTTATTTAGTTTGAAAATTTGTATAACAAAAGGTTAAGAATGAAATAATTCCCATTTTTTCTGGCAAGGTTTTATCAGGCCTTCCTCTTTCCATTTTTTAATTCTTCCTCGAAAAAGTCCTGTGTCCCCAGCATTCACCTCCATTAACTCTCTATGATTACACCTGGTTTGTTTCTTTAATATAACACTCATTACAAATCTAATTACGAGGGGGTTCTTTTTATCTGTGTGCCTGGTTACTTTGTTATCTGTTCCCCCAACCCTCTAGACTGCAACGCATTTCTTCCTCAGTGTGTGCTAGGTGTGCTGTATAGTCCTTGCTCTGTAAGTAAGTGTAGAAGGGAGGGGAAGAGGAAGGAGCTCTGAGAACTTCTTCTAAAAGCAAAGAGCATTGCATATCTTCATCTTCATTTTTTTGTAAGTGGTTTGTCTTACACGTTGTCAAAATTTCCTATGAGCCATAATTCCATTAGTGTAGGCATTTTTCAAACTGCACATGGGGGGATCATCAGTATTCCACAAGGCTGCCTTATAGTTGCAATGGGGAAGCAGAGGTAAAGCTCTGGACTTTACTTTTCTACTCACCTCTACTTTAACCTAAGCATACCTCAGTTTTTTTTTCTTTTTTGAGACAGAGTCTTGCTCTGTGGCCCTGGCTGGAGTGCAATGGCACGATCTCGACTCACTGCAACCTCCACCTCCTGGGTTCAAGTGATTGTCCTGCCTCAGTCTCCTGAGTAGCTGGGATTACAGGTGCACGCCATCACGCCCACCTAATGTTTATATTTTTAGTAGAGACGGGGTTTCACCATGTTGATCAGGCTGGTTTCAAACTCCTGACCTTGTAATCCACACACTTTGGCCTCCCAAAGTTCTGGGGTTACAGGCATGAGCCACCGTGCCTGACCAAGCATACCTCAGTTTTTATCAATTTGCAAGAATTTGGTTGAAAAAGGCTTCACAGGTTTAACTATATTTAAATAATTTTGGAATTGTTTTCCTTATTTTTTTTTTAACAGTGATTTCAAGTCAACTGTCACCATACTCGTTATAAATTTAGAATTTATTTTTATCTTTGCTATATTATGAAATTTTAATGTTAGAATGCAATATAGTTTTGTGAATATTAGGCTTTTTAAACCCATTTTCTCACCATTGTGATATTTATTGAGAAGACACAGTTTGAAGTATTAATTTATTTTTTATATATTTATACTGTAGAAGTTCAAATTAAATGTGATACTGTATTTAAATTTATGGTGAATTACGTAGTCAAAACAGTAATCTTAGAACTCAGAAAATAAGATTTTTTTTTCTCCTAGCAGAATTGGGAAAACATAGATGGTTTCTGTGATGGAAACTATTATATGAGTATTTTTAAACCTTTTGTTGTCTTTTTTTTTTTTTTTTTTTTTGAGACGGAGTCTCGCTCTGTCACCAGGCTGGAGTGCAGTGGCGCAATCTCGGCTTACTGCAACCTCTGCTTCCTGGGTTCAAGCGATTCTTCTGCCTCAGCCTCCCAAGTAGCTGGGACTACAGGCACCCGCCACCATACCCAGCTAATTTTTGTGTTTTTAGTAGAGATGGAGTTTCACCATGTTGGCCAGGATGGTCTCTTGACCTCATGATCCGCCCACCTTAGCCTCCCAAAGTGCTGGGATTACAGGTGGGAGCCACCGTGCCTGGCTGTTTTCAAAATATTTTAACACAAAATCTTCGAAAAGGCAAAAAATAATTTCTACAGTATTAAAAACTAGGATCTACATGCTCTGGGCTCCAAATAGGGTCATGTAGTGCTGAAGTTCTTTTCGTCACCAGGGAAAGCCTGCATACTCTGTCAGCATCAGAGCATCAAACACACA